CCCACCCACCACCCAGGCGCACCAGGCAGCAGGAAGTCCTCCCGGGAGGCCTCCAGCTTCTTGTCGTAGCAGGGCATCACGGTCGCGTGGTACACGCGCGCGGGGTCCCAGCCCCTCAACGCCGCCAGCCGCCGCTTGACAATCGACCCCATCACCGCCTGGGGGCTCTTGACTGCCGATATGTGGGGCAGCAGGTTGGCGCCCTGGGTCTTCTCGGCGTAGCAGACCCAGCCGGGACAGGCGGAGGCCAGCACAGGCAGCGGGCCCGGCGCAGAAGACGCGGCAGCAACGGGGTGCGCGGCAATGCGTGGGTGCTTGAGTGCGGGCAAGGAGTCCCCTGTGGACGCCATGGCGGCACGACTTGAGGTGGACGCGGCCTTGGAGCTCTCGAAGCTTGGGAAAGGGGGAATGGAAGAGGCGTGCGCGCAAGGAGGACGGGTGGTTGGGTGGGGCGCTGGCGGTGTGCCAGGGTTGCAGCGCTCCCGCTGGACTGCCCACGGCCATTTGTGATGATAAGAATACATCAGCGACTCAACTGCAGGAGCAAACACCCAGCAAGCGGCGCTCGGGGCACCCCCTTGTAATGTGCCTGCGGGCCGCTCACCGGTCTAAAAATTCCTCTGCAGACTCTGCCAGGGCCATCTCCCTGCCGACGCCGATGTCCAGCACGGCCGCCACCCCCATACGCCGCAGCGCCGTCGTGAGCCGTGCCTGCACGCCCGCGGCGTCGAGCCCATGCAGCACTGCCGAACAGGCAGGGTGTGAGGACGGTGGCGAGGGACGTTGGCGGGATGAGTGCAGGTTGCACACTGCTGGGCCCTGCCACCCTCGCTGTCGGTCTGTGATCACAAAAGCGTTTACTGTGATAGGAAGTATGGGGCCCTGTCTCACCTGCCGCCCACAACACAGGGGGACCAGCTCTTGCGCCTGTACCCGCAAGTGCGTGCACATCCCACATCCAGTCCACACACAGCCTCTTACCTGCCAGCGACGCGCGCGATTGGGGCGACACGGTCACCACCACCACCACCCCCGGCTCCATCATCTTGGCAGCCAGTTCCCCCACGCTCTGGTTCTGCAGCAGCACCGTCTCTGCGGAAGTGACACAGCCGCTGCAGGCAAGGCAGTCGTGGAGGGAGACCTTCACTGGGCCATCGTCCTTGCCGCCGGGGGTGACTGTCTGCTTGAAGCCGGTGCCTGGCTTGTGGTGCAGCTGAACCTTGCCCTCCTGTAAATCCACGTGGGAGGGCGTAAGGGAGGAAGGGGCCCCGCGAGCGTCGTATGCATGAGGATAGCAACGCAGCGTTGGGGGGGCGTTTGCCGCAGGCAATCTACACAGCAGTTGCGCCACTGTCGTGCAACTCAATAATTCTACCCATAATTCTGCTCATCGAGCGCCTGCATGGCAAAACGCAGCGTGGGCAGCGCGGCGTGGCGTGCAGAGGCAGCATCGAACGCACCTCCTCCAGCAGCTGCATCGGCGGCTTAGCATCAGGCGCCGCGCCCTGCAGAGACACCACGCACGCCTGCGACGGCGCTATGAAGTCATTAAGGTCGGTCAGCTTGATGGTGCCAGAGAACTGGGCCATGCGTGCTCCCGCTGCAGCTGGAGCAAACAGCTGCGGTGCTTTCGTAGTGCGCCCCGGGACACCGCCGCCCTGGCCTGGGCGAGCGTGTGTCGGCAGAAGGCAATCTTCACGCGCAGAAATCACCACGGCACTTTGGAATTAAAAGCAAAGCGAAAGCAAACATTCAGACCGATCTGATCGTGATGATGCACGAGGCTTTGCCAGTGTGTACAAGTGTTGTGTGACTTGTCTGGGCAGTATCATAATACATCGCATGCTAGGCCGTGACGAACCATCTACTCCGTCCAGAAGGGAGAGTAGAATCATAGAAAGAGTCTCACAGTGTAGAAAGAGTCTCAAGTGTAATCCTGCCTGTCGCACCCAACCAATATATGACAGTAGCAGGTCCAAACATTTGTTACAATTTAAGGCTCCAACATCAGTATCAAGCCTTCGCATAGAAGACACCATCTAACGAGAACGGACACCGTTGCTGAGTCAAGAATCCGCGCTCACCCCACACGCCCCACGAGCCACCTGGCTGACGGCTGCCTATGCCAGTGCTGCTGGCCCCGCTACTGCTGCTGCTGCTGCTCCTCCTCCTCCTCCTCCTGCTGCTGCTGCTGCTGCTGCTGCTGCTGCTTCCCCTGCTGCGGCCAGTGCGGCTGCTGGTGCTGCCGCCGCCGCCGTTGCTCCTGAGCCGCCCGCACAGCCGCCATCCGTTGACCTGCGACAACTGCGCGTGTCCGCACCCGCTGCGCCTCTTGCCGCGCTAGCCGCGCCACCTCGGCCCGCCGCTGGGTCGCAGCAGCCTCGGCGCCGCGCGCGGCAGCCTCGACGAGCGCTTCATTTGGGGGCCGCTCCAGGGCCTCGTAACCCTGTACCAGCCCCTGCAAAGCCGCAGGCTTCAGGCATGGCAGCACCGCCAGCACGCGTGTCTCGTGCGCATCCAGCCACGCGTTGCCAGGGTGGTGCCGCATTGTTGCCAGCGCCTGCAGCAGCTGCACCAGGCTCCCCGGCTCGGCAGTGGGTAGCTGGTGTCCCGCAAGCAAGACCAGGGCGTCGATCGCCGCTGCATGGCGCCGCAGCCACGCACACTCGTCCCCGCCAGCCCGCCAGAAGGATGACAAGGCCAGCAGCAGACGTGACACGTGCCGAGGCCGCCGCGACAGCCATTCATATGTAGCTGGCGGTGCAGCGGCTGCCCCGGCGCTGCCAGCGGGCTGCACCAAGCGCGCCAGCGCGGAGGGCGAGGAGCGTGCTGACGCCGCTGGCGCCGCAGCCACTACTGGGCCCTTTGGATTGCTCCTGCCTGCTGCCGCTGCTGCCGCTCCCGACGCAGCTGCCGCCTCGACGGCGTTTGCCCTGCTGCCGCCGCTGCCAGTAACAGGGCCAAACTCTGCCCCCATGACGCACGCCAGTGCTGCAGAGAGCAGTGCGGTCCCCGGCGCCGCGCCAAGCTGAGCCACGCTCACTAGCAGCTCAAGAGCCATGCCTCTGTTTGCGCTGCCACTTCCTGCCGCTGTGCTGCTGCCGCTACCTGCGATGCACGCGCGTGCGCGCACGAGCAGCGCGGCCACCCACTCTGCCGGTGCTCGCGCACGCCGCTGGTCTCGCGCTGAGAAAGCGGCTAACGCGCGCAGCGTGATGACGGCGTCGCGCAGGGTGTAGCGCGGTATGGCCGTGCGCGCCTCCAGCAAGTAGTCAAACCACCAGTCCTCGTGCGGCTCGTACTGCAGCCCCGCAAACCCCGACAGCACGCTTGCAAAGTTGGCCGGTGTGAACGTGGCCAGCTTGGGACGCATGGCGCGCGCAAAGGCGTCGAGCCAAGGGCGCCCGGGGCGCACGCAGAGGCGTCCAAGGGACGCGACGATGGTGGCAAAGGAGTGCGGGTCCACCTCCGACATACGGTGTGACAGCTGCGACGGCGATGAGCGCACACGAGCAGGCGGGTTGGCGTGTTTTCAGTAGGCCGCTGACACATGCTTGCATTTCAACGAGACACAGTGGTCTGCGACCCGTCATTCGCCCGCTTGACAGCCAGCCTTCAGTAATACCGTTGCCACTCAACAATCTACGTGACGACACCATCATGGCTCCATCAATCCTGGCGAGACCCTGGCCCTGCCTCGTCCAACCCCCGCCCGGCCCTCAAGAATACGCCGCTCACGTGCTTGCAATACCGCGCCACCCAGGGCAGCGCCGGCCGCCATCGCAGTGCCGATAGGCCCCACACCAGTCCTGCCATGTGGCCGATGCCCATGCCCTTGAGCCTGCGCTGCGCCTGCCACTGCATGTCTTTCATCCAAGCGTCCGTGACGGGCAAGCCCAGCCGCGCGGTGGCCCACACGATATTGGACACCGCTGGCCCCGGCAGCGACCAGTAGCAGCACCTGCACGCACCGCGGAACGCGGCGCACCACGCGTCGCTGGGCCGTATGCCCAGGCGAGCGAGGGACCAGAGGAGCATGGACAGACCGTCCGCAGTGAACAATGGTCCACGTTCCTCGGTGGGCATTACTGTGCCGCCGCCGCCGCCGCCGCCTCCGCCGCCGCCGCCGCCGCCGCCGCCGCCGCTGCTGCTAGTGGAGATTATGCCACTACGGCTGGTACTGTTGTTGCACAGATTGCTGCTGCCGCCGCCGCTGCCACCGCTGCCTCCGCTGCTGCTGCTGCCGCCGCCGCCGCCGCTGTCGCCGCCGCCGCCGCCGCTGCCTCCACCGCTGCTGCTGCCGCTGCCCTCGCCGCTGCTGGCCCCTGCAGTGCGCTGCAGCTGCATCTCCGTCACGACCAGAAACTCGTGTGCCCACTCAGGGGGCACTGCCCCACCCATGAGGGCGAGTGAGTGCACGCTGGTAGCCAGCTGTGAAGGAGAGAACAAAGACAGGTGCTGGCGTGACTGCTGAAGCCAAGTGTCCATGAGCACGCGACCGTGGCGCGCCTGCTGGGGTGGCGGTGACAGCGGCTTCCACGGCCGCTGCCAAGGCCGCAGCGGAGGTTGGGCGTGCGGGGCTGCCGAGGTTGATCGTCGAGGGCTGAGCTCGTCTGAAGGGCGGACACGGGGCAGCCGCGCGGCCTGCTGCGCGCCCATAGTGCTTGGCGATGCCTCCTGTGGCGGGGGCACCTGCTGCTGCCACCGCCGCCGCTGCTGCTGCTGCTGCTGCTGCTGCTGCTGCTGCTGGTGCTGCTGCTGCTGCTGCTGCTGCTGCTGCTGCTGCTGCTGCTGCTGCTGCTGTCGCCGCCGACGCCGTTCCTGCTGTTGTGCGTGGGTCCCCTGCAGCGACTCCTGCCACTCCTCCTGGCCGGATGTGCGCACGCGAGGCGCAAGCATGGCAGCTCCTGTCTGGGCCTTGCCAATCTCACGACATTCAGATGATGCCTGCTGCTGCCGTTTCAGCGGCTGCCGCTGCCGCACCCGGGCCTGCAGCTTCGCCTCCCACTCTGCCTGCACCGCGGCCAGCCCAGCCGCACCGTTGACCATAGCTGTCAGCGTGCGGGCCTCTTTGGCACTAGGCATGACTGCCGTGGCGCGCACCTGCAGTCGCCGCAGCAGGCCGCGGTCGCTGCACTGCAGCTGCGGCAGGGTCTTCAAGAGCAGGCCGACCTGCCGGACGCTGAAATGTTGTACGTGCTCCTTCAGCAGCTCAACAAGCCGCCGCTGCACCTGCCAGCGCCGGCGGCCGCCAACAGCAAACAACGTGCTAGCGTTCGGCGCGCCCGCGGTCCTGTGCAGCTGCTCTTGCCGTTCCCGCTGCTCGTCCCATTGCCGCTGCTGCTGCCCCTGTTGGTTCTGCCCCTGCTGGTTCTGCCCCTGCTTGTGTTTCCCAGGCTCGCCTGACCTGCTGCTGCTCCTGCTGCTGCTGCTGCTGCTGCTGCTGCTGTTGCTGCTGCTGCTGCTGCTGCTGCTGCCGCCGCCGCCGCCATCAACAGACCTGCCAACGAACTGCGCTGCCTGCTGTGCCTGCTGCGCCTGCTGCGCCTCCTGCACCAGCTGCGCCAGCCGCACGGTCATAGCTGTAAGACCGTGGTGCAGCAGGCGGCCCTGGAAGACCGTCAAAATCGCCTCCAACTCATGCAAGCCGGAAGCATTACGAATCGCGCAGTCCACCAGAACTACCGCCTGAGGGTGGGGGCGGCTTGACGCCTTGTCTTCCGGGGTCCGCGTATCCTGCAGCTCCTGCCACTGCTGCAGTTGCCGCTTGGCGGCTGCCACGTGCAGGGGGTTGATGGGCCGCTCGACAGAGGACGCAGGAGCCAAGAGCTGGGGAGAACACTGGGGGTCGCCGGCATCACCATCTGGCCGTCGTGCCCCTGCAGTGCCACTGCCTGAGCTGTGACGACCCGCTGTGATGTTGCTGCTCGTGATGACTGCGTTGCTTGCGGTGCTGCTGCTGGGGCTGCAGCTGCTGTTGTCCGCGACAACGCCGATGCCGGTGTCAGGATGCTGCTTCGGCACCTCCGGCAGCGGCTGCTGTAGCTGCTGCGGCTGCTGCAACGGCTGCGGCGGCTGCGGCTGCACCGTGAGGGCGGGCGTATCGGCGCCGAGTTGCTGAATTCTCCCGCTCGCAACACAACGGCGTGTGGCCTCCCCACCGTCTAGCATGGGCCGTTGGAGGAGCGGCCTGCGCTGTAGCGCGCCGCCCAGGAGTTCGCTGCCATGGATATGTGAAGATGAAAGTGACTCTTCCGCAAGGGAACGTTTGTCAAGCTCTGACCCGGCAGTCGGCTGTACGGTGCCGCGCAGGACCGCGCATCGCGATGCACCGCAGCGCCTGCAGGGCGGGTAGGGCACGGAACTCAGCAAGCAAGCAAATGTGTTGCTTTGCAGAAGGGCAAGTTGCAATCACGCAAGCTGCAGCTGTAGGTTGTTGCTCCGATGCAGCAGGGTGAAGGCGGCCTGCTGGGACGGGCGCTCCCACGTTCCGTGCATCGTCAAACATTGCTCGTGCCGCCGTTTTTGCACTGGTGCATGCGCCGCACCTGCGCAAAAGCGGCCACGCCACCCGCACGCCCGCGCCTTCCGTTTGGGCCAGCCTCAGGCTCATGCTGGCCTGGGCTGGCCTGTCTACAGTCTCCTGCAGGCCACGACGAATGGAGGTGCACCTCCGGCTGCCAGAGCAGACACCTTTTGGATGACGCTGAATAAATTCAACCCAAAAAGAAGACAATTTGCCTTGAAGCGACGAGCAGATCTAGACCGCCTGCTGGAGTCCGCGGGCCTGCACAACGATACACCAAGTACGGTGCGTAGGCCGCTCGTCACACGCGAGTCGCAGTGATTTTTCACGGGACGGACACCACAAGTCTAGCTCTCGATGTTAGGCTGCTTTGCAGCAGCACGCCCGCCCATGCACTTGAATTCCTGCGGGCGCTGGCGTGTCACTGCAGCCCCACAGTGGCCTTACGGAGGGTGGCCTTGCTGCAGAGGCTGGATGCTGTTGAGTGCTGAACAGAGATTGACGCCACAAGCAGCAGGGCCAAAGGGCAGGGCACCGCTGTAGGGCTACTGTACATCCCATGCCTGCATCAATGGGAAATCTGCAGCGACTGTGCCTGGCAGAGGCCCCTTCCCCAAGACCAGCCTTGCGCCATGTGCAAATTAATTACAGCTTGCAGCCATGTGGGGTCATAGAACTCAGCCCCGTTAATGCGGTGGCAGAGCAAGAAGGTACGCAACAGCGGCGCAGACCTGCACAAAAGTCCTGTGCAGCGTGGCTGCTGCGGACTTTCAGACTAACAAGCATCAACCGCTGTGCATTAAATCGAGTTGGGAGTTGCTGGCCCTCTGGTGTTTGACCTTGATTTCTACACAGCCGAGGGCTTGCAAGGGCAAAATGATTGCCCTCTGCTCATGGGGCTGAGTTGCTCAAGCCTCCCCATTTGATAGGCCTGGGTCGACCATAGACGCACCCCACAGAAGCCTAGCCCAGACCAGCAAATTCGTGCACGACATGGAGGGTGCTGGTCTGATCACTGCATTTCAACATCAATTGTGTTCACTGGCGTGTTGCTTGTTTGTGTTGCAAGCTGTCACACCCTGCTTGAAGCATCTCATTCTGGCCAATCAGGGAACGTCCCTTGCCTTGTGGACCCCTTCAATAACATACTGTACGCCCATGCTGCTGAGTTAGCTGAATTGCGTGCCAAAATCGCATCACCTCTGTCTGTGACGTAGATAGCAGATGAAATTGGTCTTCAAACTTATCACGTTTGTGTGCACTGATCCGCACCAGCTACTCAGGAGCCGGGGTGGGGGTGCATTGCTGAATGCAGCCAACACTGTGACCAGCAAACGTTGTGCAACATGAGGGGACACCCAACACCCGATTGGCCGTAGCCAATAGTATGCACAACGCAAATCATCTTCGTCCTGGAAGGCAGTGCCAGGACAAGGATGTGCAACGGCTGTTGTGAACTTCTTCGGCATGAAAGGGGGGGGCGTGTCGCACGCAGACGTGGCTTCTCAGCTCCAGGGTTCTTGCGACACAAATCGACCCGTGTCAAGACAAGCTTTATGAGAACCAATTGCACCAATGTTTTTGTCTTGCTGGACTTGAGTTTATTTGCGCTCCGCATGTGTGGTCTTTTGGATGCGCCCCGCTTTCAAGCGGTGAGGGCGGGGGGCTGCTTCAGCTCTACGGTAGCGATATCATACCGTACCACGGCGCATTTGCAGAATGTTTTGGCTCCAACACCACAACATGTTCTGTACGAACGCCTCGAGATTTATGTATGTTCGCCTTTGTACCAGCAAGAGCATGCGCTCTTGAAATAGTGTCAGATCGCGCAATGCTTGCTCATGTGTTGTAGCAGTCGCTAAGACAACTGTGATAATAAGTTTGAGATCGATCGGGTGGACAGACAGGGTGGCTGCTGCAGCGGCGCGGCTCTGGGGAGGCGCGGCGCAGCTGTCGCGCGCCACTCGAGCAGCAGCTGTCTCAGCTGCTCAGCGTCCCCTCCGGTGTTGCGCAACTGCTGCCACCTGCTCCGGGCTGATGGCGTCCCGCTTCTACGGGTGCTACCTGCTGGTCTCCCTGAACCCCGAAGCACGCATCCGCAACTACATTGGGTGCGGTCAGGGGACAGGCTTGCCTGCGTAGCAGCGGCCATCAGCATGCACCTGGACCTACTCTGTTCGAAGCGCTACACGCCGCACGCATTGACCCGCGCCGCCTGCTTGACTACCCGTTTACATGCGTCGCCACCGCCCTCCACCGGCCTGTCACAGGTTCACCGTCAACCCCCCGCGCCGGCTGCGGCAGCACAATGGCGAAATCACATCCGGGGCCTGGCGCACCAAGCGGTGCGCTCGCCGCCACTTTGCCTTGCACAGCGGATGTCAGCCTAACACTGACAGGCGCCTGGCCAGTTTTCACCGCAAGGCTCTTTGTTCGAGGCCCATGCGGTTTGGGATGCAGCCCACCCCCTAGGACCAGAGCACTCCCACAGCTTGGTCGTCGCAGCTTGTGGAGCACCATTCGACCGCGCCCGCAGGGGCCGGCCCTGGGAGATGGCCCTGGTGGTGTACGGCTTCCCCACCCAAGTGGCTGCGCTGCAGTTTGAGTGGGCGTGGCAGCACCCGGACAAGAGCAAGGTGGCGCGCACCGTGGTGGCGGGGCTGAAGAAGCACCAAAAGTATGGCACCGCCGGCAAGGTAGGGCGCGGTGTGCGCTGCCCACATACGGGCGGCATGTGCCTTGAGAGGGGTTGAAGAGCCTGGCCATACACCAGTTGGCATCGCGCTGGGGCCGCGTGTCAAAGCGAAAGCTGGAACAGCGACGTGGCCCAGGCCCCGGTGATGGCCAGGCTTTGCGACATCCAATATTTTTTCACAAACCAGATATCCGCCTGCTGCCGCCAATAGATGCGCCTGCTGGCTGGCATGCTACAGCTTCCTCCCTGGCGCTACTTCCCCCTGCGGCTGCACATCATGTCCGAGGAGCACGCCAAGACCTTCACGGGTGGGCGGCGCATGGAGAGGAGCGACACGAGGAAAGGGTTGGCCGCCAGAGCACACTGGCGGCAGTGGCCATGTGGGCACGTGTGCATCCTTGCTGGGTGCGGTGGGTGCGGTGAACGGCGCCACCGTGCGCGAGCCGTGCTGTCCCATATCCTTGGCGCACTCCGTCAGAAACCTGCCGACCACCTCTCGCTCTTGGCCAGGTTGCTGCCGCGGACCGCTGCTGTTCCCCTTGGTGGTGGCGCCCCTGGACGAGGTCCCGAGCAGCGTGGGCACAGGCGAGGGCCCGGCAGACGGCGAGGCGGAGACAGATGGGGAGGAGCCGGCTGCGAGGTGCGGCGCCGAGGAGGAGGCGGAGGACGAGGAGCAGGAGGAGGAGGAGGGGGAGGAGGGGGCCGGGTGCAGTAAGGCCTCGAAAGCCAGCGCCTCTTGCCGCCACGCACTCAGTGCTTGCGCCGACTTCTCTGACAGCGGCAGCGAGCTGAGTGGCGGACTGGATGATGGCAGCAAGGGCGGTGGCGCGATGGATGGTGGTGGGGTCTTTGATGACGATGTGTACGAGCTGGAGGATGACGTGGCGGACTGGATGGCGGCCCAGGGACCAGCTGCGGGGCAGGCAGCAGGACGTCTCGAAGGCACTGCGGGGGCCGGACGCGCCAAGCGGCGAGGAAAGGCAAAGGCAGCAGAGGGCGGCGCGGCAGAGGGGGCAGCAGCGCACAAGCAGCGAGGGTCTCGCTGCAAGCTGTGTGAACGCGCTGTAGAGCGCTATGTCCTCGGCTGTGGCTGCTGCGCATCAGAGTTCCACATCGAATGCCTGGCGGAGCGGTTTGCCGGCGACAGCAGCAGCCCAGGCCATGCGACTGGCGCAGATGGTGGGGGGTTGGACGTTGGAGGCAGGGCCCCGTGGCTGCTGGGCGGCGCGTGCCCCGGCTGTGGTGCGGCTCTGGGCTGGCTGGACCTCCTGCAGCGCATGAAGGCCTACGGCGGTGCAGGGCAGGTCGGCCCAAGCGGCGCAATAAGCAGGAGGTGGGCAGGCAGGTGTAGACGTGCAGAGGCGGGTGCTAGGTCGCGTGTTCCAAATCGGGCTTTCCTGCCAGAAGTTTTGTCCGTTTGTTGCTATCCTGTATTGTGTGAACTTGTGCATCATACCTGGCCCTGGGTATTTGCCCCTATGACACCTGCAGGCAGCGCACCCCCAAGAAGCGGAGCAAGGAGGAGCAAGAAGTGGAGGTGCAGCTGCAGCAGCAGCCAGCAGGGGCGGCGCTGGGCGGCTCGGGACCTGGTGGCCTGGAGGTGGCGCCGCAGCAGCCGCAAAAACAGCGGGCGCGGAAGAAGGCGCAGGCAGCGACCAGCGGCGGCGATGCAGCGAGGGATGCAGGGGATGCAGCCAAGCAGCGGGCCCCTCGAGCACAGAGGCGCCTGCCGACGGCGCCCTTTTTGAACTCATGTGGTGCCGGCGCCGTGGATGCCGTGGCCACAGCTACAGAGAAACGTGGTGTCAGCGGCAGCGAGCTGTCAGTGGTGCTGCAGCAGCTTTCTGCTGAGCTGGCGGAGCGGCACCCTGAGCTGCAGCTGCCTGTGGGTCGGCCGGAGGTGCTGCTGCCGCTGCTGCAGAAGCTGCTGGCCAGCGGTGCTAGCGGCTTGCTGGGATCCGCATGCGGCGTCGGTGACGCGGCGCCTGCAATCAAGGCAGCGCGGGGACGGCGGCCACGTGCGCCGCGCGGTAAGAGGGGCGCTCCACCAGATGTAGGGGCCGGAGAGGTCGTGGACTTGGTTTCAAGTGGTGATGACAGGCAGCAGGAGAGTACAATTACACAGCAGCAGCAGCAGCAGCAGCAGCAGCACCAGCAGCAGCAGCAGCAGCAGCAGCAGCTCATTGAAAAGCGGCACACAGAGCAGCAGTCCACCCAAGGTGCCACATGCACCTCGCGCGCAGGCAAACCTGCCGCCAAGCGCACTGGCGGTACGAGGGCGGCAGGCCGCTTTCAGCCAGAGGTGTGCAGCAGCAGCGGTGGTGCCAGCAGCAGCGGTGATGGCTGGGAGTCGCCTGCGCCTCTGGCTCAATGCATCGTCGCCGGCCACGCTGCGGCCCCTGCGGTCCCGAACGCTCCGTCGGGTGGAACCAGCCCCATGTGGATCGGGTCGGAGCCGCGGCCGGGTCGTGGATCCAGCAGCCCCTCCCTAGAGGGCCTTTCACCGGCGCCGCTCATGGCGCGTCTGCGGCTGGGCCGCGCCGTTGCAGCCCTCGAGCCACGCGTGGCGCCCGCCTCTTGGCAGCCCATCGAGCAAGAGCGCAGGGAGCTGGAGGGCCGCGACAGCGAGCCAGAGCCGCCGCAGCAGCAGGAGCAACAGCTGCAGGAGGTTGGCAGCGGCTTCAGGGTTGTCAGCTTGCTGCGGGGCGAGGATGCTGCTGCCGGCCTCCGGCGGCGGCAGCGGCTGAATGGCTCCACGCCGGCAGCGATGCGGTGCACCCAGCAGCACGGTTCTGCCGTCAATGTCTGTGGCATGGTTGAGATTACAAGTGACTAATGATGGCAAACCGCCATGTACGTGCAAAATAAACACATTATTGACTGACTGAATGAAAATTCCAGGGAGCACCTGGAAAGCGCGACTCAGCAGTAATCCATTGCCACGCACGTTCAGATGCGGTGGATGTGACTCTTGCGCCGGGCAAAAGCAACTTGCATCGCAGCGATCAGGGTAGCCAAGGAGGAATTCGAATACGAAAGGCTTCGAAAGCCAGCACAGCAGTCATGCCAACTGAATTATACAGGGACTTCAGGGCGGCCTTGTTAGGGCACAGACACACAAGGATGGACGTGTGGGGTTCTCATGTGCACACGCTTATCGCCGCAGGCGTGCCGTTGGCGGCGTCGGCATCGCTGCTGATGCTGCCGGCCGGCCCCTGCTCTTGGCTCCCCCTCAGCCCCTCCACCAGGGCAGCCAGCTCCTCCTGCGCCTCCTCCAGGCTGGACGTGTCGTCCCAATGGTCCCTGACCTCAGGAGGGGGTTGGGGCGCGCGTTCAGCGTTGAGGACGCCGTGATTAGGCAGCCACAGCCAATGACCAACGGTCAGCTCTGAAATGAACCCAGGAGTCAAGGCCACGCGCACCTGTAGTCGTCGGGGTGGGCGCGCTTGTTCCTGCCGGTGGCTGCGTACATGTCGCCGCGCCAGGCCGGCAGGGGTTGAGGGCACCCAGCCTGAGTGATCAGCCAGTTGTTGTACTCCCTGCGACGCACGGACCAAAGAAAAACAAAGCGTGGGATGTAGGGATCACCCAAGTATTGCAAGGCCCACAGCTGCTGGCGCGGGATGTTGGGAGCATGTTGGTGAACATCCGTCATGCTTCAACCCAGATCTATTACTGGAACCCCGCACAAACCAAAAACCAGCAGCCCTTCTGGTGAGCATGCTGCTGCGTACCACTGCCGCACATCCATCATGTGAGTCCACTTGGGGGGCACTCCCGCCTCCCTCAACCCAGCGTAGAACTTGTCCATTTCAGCCGCCATGGCGCTACGGCTGGGCAGCGCCGCCCGGCCAGACAGGACGCGCGCCACCAGGCGCGCCTGCAACTCAAACTGAGGAAACGGCACAACTTTCCACGGCAGCTGGGGGGGGCGGGACGGGGAGGGTGTTGTGGGGAGGCGGGTGTCTCAGGGAGGTTGGACGGCCAGCGAGAGAGGTGTGGGGGTGCGGGGGTTGAGGGGGAGTAGAGAGACGCATGCAGGCGGTGTCTGGCGCCACATCAGATCATGCTCCGCTCTCACCGCCACGGCAAGCACCGCTGGGCCACATCTTTGCTGCGCGCTTGTCGCCCGTGCACACGCAGGCCCACGTTCACATAGCCCCCCCCCCCCGCCCGCTGGTCCCTCCACAGCCCACCCCGATGAAGGCCAGG